CATCAGAGAAAGCGCTAAAAATTTGAATTTCGCGCGTTTTTACCGGCAGTTGGCCTAGAAAACTCACACCTGGCCGCTAGGCCACCAGTCCCCACTTTGACTTTTCAATGCCGTTTTTCTCAATGAAGGAATTGTTTTTTGACTTTTTTCTTTATTTTTATGGGAATCTACGTGGATTCTTGCACAAAATAAAGCAATAAAACTTTTCATCGCACACCAAATTTAAAGTGAACGTTAGATTCGAATTACAGCACTTTTCTGGGAACGGTGGTCCTCAAACATTGAAGGGCAATATAAAAAATCACAGGCCTATGCCGTTTCAAATTGTAAAGTACAAAACCCCAGGCTATTTTTTTTGAACACCGTGTTTTTTTTGGGACGCGTCAGACCTACGTCAATAACTACTAAAACATTGAAAGCTTTCGGAAAATGTTTGAAGAATGACAAGAACGTTTCAGTAACAGAGAAAAAAAAATGTTCTGCATGTCAAACAATATATTTGAAATTCAGAAACGATGTTTCTCTGCACTCTTGACAGAAACTGATGTGTTTTCAGATTTTCAGGTTTTCCTAAAATAGTGTCTGATATTTTTCATGTTACATGTATGGAAAATAATGGTTTCACAAACTCTGTTCTCGTTTGTTTATTCCGTTCTTTACGTTAGTCCCAGGGTCCACTGTTTTGACCCAATATCTTTTCTGTTAGTTTACACTAAGTCCAGAACTTTCGAAAAATTGAACGTCTGAGTCTCGGCGGAGAAGTATTTTTTCAATACGCAATGAGACTCCTTCAGGATTACACAAAGTGCCTAACAACTGTGGAACTTCGCATAGTTCTGTTACATCAGTGGGTGGAGCCATCGGGCAATGGCCGAAGAAGCAATAGACCTATGTCCGACCTGTGGGGGCACATGTACGTTCGATGATAAGAGCAGTTGTTTTTCTTTCAACTATTTTACAAACTTTAACAGCGCTTTTTCTTAAAAATTGGATGTTTTGAAAACTTTGAAAAAAAACCTACTGGCAGTGCCAGGAACAACCACCTGAACCACATGATTGAACCGCAAAGAAGATAGTATTTTATTCTAACTTTATATTCTACCTGATTTAAGTTCCACGACAATAAAACATTCATAATTACTCTAATAAAACTAAGAATTAAAACCGTAAAAAATTAACTTCTAGACTTCTTTATGAAATCATCCTATGTCTCGAATTTTTATCAATTTTGTTGAAACTTTGTTCAAAATGGTTTTTGAACAACGTGCTTTTTTGGGACGCGTCCGACCTCCGTCAAGAATTACTAAAACATTACAAGGTCTCAAAAAAATGTCTGAAGAAAAAATGACAAGAACGTTTCAGTAACTGAAAAAAGCGTTCATCATGTCAAACAATTTATTTAAAATTCCGCAACGATGTCTCTCTTTTATATTGACTGCACTTTTGTCAGACACTAATGAATTTTCAAGTGCATGGGACAGTGTTGCTGTTTTTTTTGGAACACTCATGTTTCTAGTACATTGCAGTAGACACCAGGGATGGGCGAGCAATGGGCTTTCACGGGGAAACAAATTGCAAAACACAGGCATCTTGCGATTAAAGGCGCACGCCATTTTGCCGATGTGTCAGGACACGTGGCGTGAAAAAATGGCGTGAAAAATAAATTTTGAATTTCGAACAATTTTATTAAAAATCGCTTTAAAAATACAAAATTTATTTTTACGTGTCGAGACCCTTCGGCAAAATTGCGTGCGCCTTTAATCACAATTCGTCTCACGCGAGAGAAAATTTTACAAATTGTCGAGGTTTTTCTCCCGTTCTCGCCCACCCCTGGTAGACACCAAAACCTTGAAATTTTTTCACTAACAATTTCTAATGTAAGACTAATTTTAAAACGAACACTTCAATGAACAACTTCGTACACAAGCGTATCATGTAAAAACACGAGCAGTTCGAGAAAATAGAAAAAATTTTTTCATGAGATGGATGAAATAAGAAAGATATGGTACCTAAAATGTGTTTCGTTAGTGGTATGAACATCCGCAACAAAAAAATATTTGAAGATGAAGGGATTCTGAAATTTCTATCTGGGTAGACTAGCTGGCAAGAATCTGGGAAGAATGTTTTCTCATTTTCTAAGCAACTCCAACGGATTCATAGAAACGCATATTGATTGTTTCAACTAGGGCACCATTATGACTTGTTTGTGTTTTCTGGAAAACCGGAAACATGAATTTCATGGTTCATGAAAAAAAGTGAATACAAGTCTTGATGGCACGACCTCCGCAAAGATTTGAAAACGAAAATTTGGAGGTGAAGCTCTGATGGTATGAGAGAAACACAGTGATACTATGATACAAGCTCAGAAGCCGCTCTTCAAAACTTATTCAGTTTGCATTTTAGGGAATAACTCAAATTTCTAGATCTCACCATGTGGAATCAAATAGTGCGTTTCTCTAAAAATCAATTGTTGTCGGAGTCGGACTCCAACTGTTATGATCGGATTTCAAAAATCTTAATTTTCACAAATCATGATCTCTGTATCTCTCTGTTTTAATTGTTATTGTTAGATCCTTAAAACACAGAACCACAAATTCAGAATCAACGATTCAAATTTTAAGTAACTATTTTCTTTGTTTTCAAAGTTCCCGATTAATTTCAGTCTTTTGATATTTCACCATTTGGAAATATTCTGATTTCCCAAGTGTTTTATGGCTCAAAAAACATGAAACATTGTTCCTATTCCCACCGCCCCCGCTCGCAAAACAGGGGTATAATTCGATTGCCCATTTTTCTATAAAAGAAGAAAAAGCTCGTTCCAAAACAGGTCATTCCAAATCGAATGTCACAATTCATTTTTATTCTATGTCTCCTGGCTGGAACATTTTGGGGTTTCGTCCCAAATGATCCGGATTTCGGAGGAATTATCGGATATCCTCATGACGACATTCATTCACTTCCTAGCGCCTTCGCCTCTTTCTCGGATACGCCCCATCAGAATCCAGATGAGGAGATAGTGACAAAATTTCTAGCTCGTACGACCAAATCGATCCAGTCCGGAGATATCCGTGTCATCTTAGGTCTTTTTCAACCTACATTCCTTTTTTAAGATTTGCGAGGATAAATTTAACAAGTGTGAGTCATACGTTCGTCCTTACTCGAATCACACTAAAATTCTAGATGAGCTTGCCGGATATCTCTCCACGATCACACCTGACATTAAGGTTTCAGTCACTCTCAAGTCGGCTCTTCCCATCGGAGACCGCATCAAATTCAATGCTACTGCTATTGGAATCAGTTCATCTACAATTGATGTTGAATTCGTTTTGAACAAACCGGACCAACAATTGGCATACGCACAGGTTCATAGGTGCCCAATACCACGCGATTCTTAGAATTTTCTCCGTCAGAAGACTCGATTGCTGTCATCCAGAGTCCGTCTAAAAGATTCAGTGTTTTCTTTTTTGACTGCATTTTTTGTGGTGAATAAAGTATATAAGCTTCCAAAAGATTTGACATTTTGCGAAAAACTAATCAGCCGAACATCTCAAAGAATCTAGAAAAAAAATCAGAAAAAAAATCATCACCTTAACTTTCAACAAATCCTTGTAGACTATTTTTCTCGGTATCGAGTTTACTCCCGGCTCAGCAGATGATAGTTCTGGTAGTTGACCTTCCCGAGTCTATCGGGTCGATCGAGTTCTTGATTGTCGTTTAGTTCTATCGTTCTTCTAAACGGCGAAATAAGTCACGTTGGCGCCGTCCATGAGAAATGAAGTTTACACGTTGAACAGTCGAATTTTGATCACAAAGCTGGTGTCGTCCCAGGAGAAATCTTTGGAGTTCTGACAACATCATCATCTTCGTCATCCTTCGTAGTAGCACTTTTGTATTTGTCTGCGAAACTCAGAAGCTTTCTTTTCTCTTGATTGATGTTTCCTCCACCGCCAATCTTCTCATTATTCGTAACCTTTTCAAATTTTTATGCTTCCTCTATAGACATTATCAACTTTACTTGTTGCCCGTTCAACTCATTTCATCACAAAATATTCTGAAAAAAAAGAAAAATAGAAAAAAGTTCTATTTTCTGGAACTTCCTTTACCGTATTTTTTCTGAAGCTCATGATTGACTTGAACTCCTCATTTTACTTCAACAAGCCAAAACGTTTAGTTTCTAGGTTCGCTACGACTGTCAAACAAACAGAGAGGATCACAGAAGGAAAACTTTCTTCTGCGGTCACTACTCTATTCACCTGACAGGTATGCGAGCGAATTAAAAAATCAAGTATCTTGAGACACCGTATTTTTCATGTTTCCTTATCTCGATGAGTTAATTTAGTATGTTCAGCATAAAACCATCAAGAAGTTCGAAGAGTGTACAGTCACCTTCATTTCTCCTTTTTTATTGCCCATAGAGCTTTTTTTCATGATGCTCAATCCGATCCGCACCAAGAGCATATGGAACTGCAAAATTATGCTAGAATATCATTCGCCTGATGCTTGTCTTCTTTTCGGACATTACTTTTAGGAAAATTCCAAACAACCGGTTTTTGATCTGTAGATGGTGATCTGAAAAACACATTTTTCTGTTTGTGTTGTGAGTAAAGCGTATAGCTTATAGCCATTTGTAGTTTTTTTCCGTGTTTTCACCGCTCGCTGACGCCTTCTGGAGCTTCCCGACCTTTCCAAGAAGTTCCGAGCAATTTTTCACGTCTTCTGGACCCTTCAGAAGCTGTATAGCCAACTTGTCTTTTTTCAAACTTTATAATCATCGCTGGCATCTAACGGAGCTTCCGGACTATCAAAAACGCATTTTTCGCAGTGAAAAATGTTTGAACCCCTCCGGTGACAAACTGTTTTTTAAAGTTTGCAGGGTTTTCAGTCACAAGAAATTTGAAATTCGCGGTTTTTGAAGAGCTTCCGAACCTTTCCAAAAGTTCCAAAGCAGTTTTTAGGTCTTCCGGAGTCTTCAAGCTCATTTTGAACTTATTTCATCCGTTTTTGGTATTCATTGCTCACCTTTATCTGCTCGACCAGTCTCCGCACATCCTCACCACTTCGCGGGTTTGTATCCACGATGACCATCACATGGAGTTTGGGTTCCTGGTCAGTGAGATAAAATTCCCGTCTGAGAATCGGTCATTTTGAGCCAGAGAATGCCATTTTTGAGCTAATAATCTGCAGTTTAGCTTTGAACTAGGCCAAAAAACGGAATTTTGGAGCTTTTAAGTCTCAAAAACTAACCTTGATCGTCATATTTCAACAACAAAAGTGGCATGGGTTGGAAACGCGAAATTTTTCTACATATTCAGCACTAAAGCAATCTGTGTGAGACCGTTAGCATGATGAAGCGATGATTTGCGCACGTCGTCGGAGAGTCGAGCCCTCAGAACCGTGGTGTTCGTGGAGAATTTGTTCAATGAACTTGTACGGCCTTCTCAGAAGTATCAAAAAATGGAGAACCAATTCTTCTTTTCTTCAATTATATGTGTTTCATTGTATCTCACATGCCATCCATTTTCACCGGAACTTGGAATAACATTTGTGTGTTGATGTTGATTTTTCGTTCATTCGTTTCTGCAATGAATGAAAATACTTACTTTTTGGATCGTCACAGAGCATTGATTAGATTTATAAATTGTTTGTTTGATCCCCCGTTGGCTCAATGGACTTTCAATTTCCCGAATCGTTAACAAATATTGTTTGAAAATGAAAAGAAGTTTATTAAAAATATATTTGATTGGTTTTTCAAAAGAATGATAAAGAAAACGATTAAGAACGAGGAAAAAAGCATTATAAATTTTAAAAAATGTCAGATCTGTCTATTCTCGAAGACAAAAAAAAAACAAACGCGCTCTATTGAAGTATTGACCGGAAAATCACATGACAGCGAGGCAGAAGAGAGGCGGAAAAGAAAGAACAAGGGCAGAGAAAAAGAGAATATATTGGTGAGGAGAGAGAAAAGAAACGATGGTGAGAGGAGAAGGTGGTGTGTAGATAATCTTTGATGCCTCGTCTCCTCAAAAATCTTTGGAGGTGCGGAGGACAAGTACGGTATTCGAAGGAAAATTTTTAGATTTTAACAAAACCTAATCTAGGAATTTGATTATGGAAACGATGGATTGCGTTTAGCGGAGCGAACGTGCTACGATTTCATGTAAGGGTTTTTTTTAAATTTCAGATTAATTCAGGTAGATTGTGAGGACTACTTCAGCAACACATTCAAACAGCCCAAAAACGTCTAAAACATTGGCATTCCTCTCTTCAATGCTACAAAGGGAGCCGATAGAGCAGCTAAATCTGAAATTTATCACTTTGAAGTAAAGAAAACCATTTTTTACGATATTGAGAGTTCAGTATTCAAGCGAGGTTTTTGCTGCCAAGAATCCCCCCAAGACACAAGAAAGTGCGCTCTATGGAGGGACAACTGGTAAAATGCAAAGTAAATCACGTATCAAAAAGTTGATTTTGATGAAACACACAAACTTGCTCAAAATCTGAATCATGCCGTAGAGTATTGTTGGACAAGCTGATTGCTTCCCGATTCACATTGCACTTTTGAAGAAATGCCGAATTTTCGCAGAGGTGGAGAGTAATGTGCCTTTTTTGTTATATACAGGTTTCTATCATATAAACTACGCGGATTCCTGCTAAAAACATTTGACGAAAAGCAGTTAGAGCAAGACTCTAGCCGAAAATACAGGCCGAAACCTAGGAAGTGTTTTAGAATTCAGCCGTTGATGTGGAGAAAATATAATTCAAATTTATCAGTTTTTTTTCACAAAAATTTATTTGGACATTAATTTACAACATAAATGTGCAGAGTTTTGATTTAAACATGAGTTTCCGATGATGACGATACAATTTTTGTTTGGACGTCAAGGTGGCGGAAGCTGGCGAAATGATTTGCTACGGTGAACTTCTTTTGAATGGTGCAGGATTCTTGTCCAGGCGAATGATTTCGAGAAGAATTTCCTTCTGTTTGACCATCTTCTTATAGCGATCTGATGCCGTGCCGTGAAGGCTTTTCTGAAATCAGTAAATTTGTTGTTAAAGTGATTGAAAAAGGAAAGAAATTGGGGAATAAGACAGTTTGGATTGTTGGGATTATTGAAAATGAACTGATGTTCCATTGAAAATGAACTGAGAGGACGAATTTTCAAGAAACGATTTCCTTTCTATAAGAAATACGACAACTAACCTCTACATCCATTCTTGCCATAATTTCTTCGAGTGTTCCACGGGCTCCCTCCTAAAAAAGCATTTTTAGAAACTCTATTTACTCAGCCAGGAAACATACCACTTGCTCCTGTGATAAAGTCATCAATCCATTCGCCTCCTCAGACGAAGCATCAGATTCTGCAGAATCGACTGTAGTTTCAGCTCTTTTTGAGGACTTAGACCCCATAGCTCACAGAATGGCAAAAGAGTGAAGAGGAAAATCTATTCGAATTCAATTTTCGCCAGCTGTGAGCTATAAATGTCAAAAATGGGCGGTTTTTACACTCATCTGTCGAGAACAGTACTCATTACTTTGCACATAAAATGTTATTGGCAAAAACCTTTTCAAAAAATCTCGATATTTCACATCAGCTAGGCGGTAAAGTGAAATAAATGAAAAAAAAACAGATATAACATCGTTATCAGCTCTCTACAGTACTCCAGGTTCCAGGAAATGCAAATTGTTACAGCAGAAAGAAATCTGTTGAGTTCTAAAAGAAAATATGTGAAATTTTCTGAAAGATTCTTTCACATGACTCCTATAATGGTTTTCACTTGGTTACCGTATTTTCACTAATACGAGGTTGCCCTATATGCCTACCTTGAGCTCAATTATCTCGATTCCCTCAAGAAATATCGAGAAATGTTCAACTGATAAATTGTTCATCATAATATCACAAGTATTTTATCAGTTTGCGGATTTTTGGCATCTTTTACAGAAACCGAGATAATTGAGCTCAAAGTGAATGTATAGGTTGGGCTTCTATCGGTATTGCTTTTTTTTTTATAAATTATACTGCATATAATCACATTTTCAAGCATTTGTGTATTTTTAAAGCATGTCACGAGAATCTGTTACAAAGTTTTAAAATTCTTCTGCACACATACCAAGTCATCTGTTCTTTCAAAGTTCAGGAATCATCAACAGCTGCAAAATTCTTCAGATGGGTTTACGTTTATTCAGAAGTATTGTATCTTGGTGATTATCACCATGTTTGGTCGCCCTCTAAGCTTGAATCACTGAAAAAATAAAATTAAAACCTCAAGTTGTGTTTCAGACGTACCAAACCCAACATTTTGTATGGTAGATCGAATTTGGAGGTCTCATAGTATTGAGTTTCTATTGTGAGGCGGCGAGCGAAAGGCAAAGAACGAAGATACACATCTTACTCTATTATAGGATTTTTTTCATTTTAAAGGTAACTACCATGATCTGATCGTTTCTAATCGGGTTCACTGACTTGTGATGATGACTGTCTTCCTTTTTTTCTGAAATTCAAAGTTTCCTAACAACGATATTCATTCACCCAAAAAACGCGTCCAGGTTACGCCATATTGTTTGTTCTTCCCTCTCAAGGGTATTCATACTTCTTTCTCATTCGTTGTCTGTTTCTCCAAACCTTCCCAATGTCTTACCCATTGCCCCCGTCCGAGTGTTCAAAAGGGTCTTCTGATGTTCTACTTAGTACGAAGAACGTGTTTGCTATAGCTTTCTACGCGGGTGGTGGCTTACACACTCTCTCCATCTGCGTCTGTGATGCGACCACACTCTCTCTCTCTCCTTGGCAGAAAGGAGAGAAGAGAGGAGAGTAGGTCAGTGACTTTTTCTAGTTACACTCCCTTTGCATCTACACGTTATTATGATTAATTTTGCACGTATGATAATGTATTCTGTTTACTTTTTGTTAATTTCGTTTAGCTCGATTTTAGCTTTTCTCTTTTTTGTTACAGATGGAGAGATCGGAAGGCTCGTCGTCACCAGGCAAAGATGAAGAGAATGCCGTGGCACAAGAAAAGATTGCCGAAGTTGTTCAAGGAGCGAAGAATCATGTCAGATCTGCTAAAAGAAAGAAGGTAAGCGTCTAGAAAACATGTTATAGATACCGTGAAATCTGTATTAGAAAAGCCCCTTCAATTGAAGAGCTCTTTTCATAGAAGGACCCTCCGAGAAGGGCTTAGAAAAATAGTAGGGTCCGCTGTAGTTGAAGGGCTATCTGTAAAATGTGTTGTTTAAAATTAAAAACTTCCGTACGTTTTCAGCAAAAAAATTTCGGAACTTCCTGATTTTCACAGAAATGTGAAGTTCTGTTAAAAATTTTTTCATTTTGGTCAATTGATGGATTTTCATGAATTTTGAACGAAAATGCATCTAATTTTTTTGATAAAACTTTTCATTAAAAATTTCCGGAAAATATAAAAGCCTCCTGTAATAGAAGGAGTGACTTTTCTAAAACAGGTTTTACGGTATATTGAATTATTTGCACGTCTCAACATTTCCCATCTCAATTTGAAAACTTCATTTTTTTTCAGAGTGCTCGATCTAGCAGCGCTTCAAATGGAGCCAAAAAGCAAAAAAGAGCAGTCAAGAAAAACAAAACGGATCCAATCCAAGCCCAACCTGACTGCTCCGGTGGCATCCAGAAGACGGCAGAAGAGATAAAAGAATTCTCTTCGGATTGGCTGGCAAGAAAGGTTCTTGTCAGTTCTCACATAGAAATGAGGAGTAAAGGCATTGCGGCTTCTTCAGAAGCTATCGAAAAAATGAAGGAAATTGCCAGAAGTGTCAAGGTAAGTGAAATGTTTCGTGAAAATAAGTAGATCGACGGCTCATTCGATTTTTCTGAAATTTCGCGTTCAAGCGTGTGATGATAGTTTGAAAAAATTCAAATAGCTCTGGAACGAAAATTGAAAAAAAAATATCCGGTCATTTTTGGAAATGAGAAAAAACCCTCACCTCGTTTTGACAAAAAAAAACTAGCAATCACCGCGTAAAATTTGCGCAACCCTGCGGCCCACGTTTTCTTTTCATCAAATTTCGTTGTATTTCAGCAATTTTTCTCTGAAAAAGAGAATATTTGAAGGTTCAATCGCATACCAAAATTTTTAATGGAAAATCGTGAAAAAATTATGGAATATTATAGCAAAATTATGGAACATTGAGAAAAAATATAGAAAATTATGAAAAAATGAGAAACATTATGAAAAAATTCTGGAACATTATGGGCAATTGTTCCGGAAAAATATACCTCCTAAATTTTTGGGTAAAATAAAAAATTGAAAAGTAACAATAAAAAATGCGAAATAAAATTGCGAAATGGCAAAAATGTTGTAAAGGAGAAAACAAAATAGCTGAAATACACTGAAATGTGAGAAAAGTGAGACAGTGCGCCGCATGGTTGCAAAATCGTCACGAGGCGGTTTCGGGTGGTGCAGTTAGTTTTTCTGCGATATCATTTCGTGTCCGAAAATTCAAAAAAAGTCCAAAAAATTCTGAAATTTGAACATTGTATTGAAGCGAAAATCAATTAAAGCGAAAAACGAAAAAAAGTTATAGGCAAAAGTTATAGGGAAACTAGAAATTTGAAAAAAAAACAAAAGCGATGTGATAAAAAGCAAAATATCTGCGGAAACTAACTTTTCTTTAATTTCAGGAGTCTCATTGCCATGACTGCCACGTCGAGCTATCCGATGACATGCCCGATCGGAAAAATTACCGCTGGATGGAAGAGAAGCTTCACAGTCAAGTGCTTGCGGAACCAGTCGCTGGCCCCACAACTCCACAGGATTCGGAAGACCGCATTCCGTTCAACATTCACTACACCGGAAAACCATTTTTCGATCCGAAGACTGTAAAAGGGCAGGATATCGTTGATGCTGCAAAGACCGGAAACAAAGGCTTCGAGGATTTTGATGAGCAGAGGAACAAGTTTCTCTACGAAGAAGATACTGGGATTGTTGAAGAGGAGAAGTGCTTCTTTGCCGGAAGAGGATTCAAACCGGAAGAATCAAAAGGATACGTTCCAATCCCGAAGTTCCAACTCAAAGATGATTCAGAAGAATCGTGGAACAAACTTCAAGAGAAAGTCCTTGGAACCAGCATGTGTCTCATCAAAGGGATCAAAGTCAATGAGGAGACTTTCTCGCTAGAAACGTTGGCAAAAGTGGCGCCGAAATATAAGCTTCGAATTCTCCGGCAGTTGCCACAACCGACCTTATGCAATTTTGTGCAGAAGCCAATTGCCAGAGGGTCTCGTGCGGGTTCCAGAAGATGGTTTACGGAGCAAGCAGAGCAGTTTACCACTGTCAAGAAGTACTCGGAGTATTTCAACGGCATGAGAGCCGCTGGAGAAAAAGGTAAGGACACTTTTTGAAAGTTTTGTTATGAAATAATGTCGGAATAAGAGACGAAGAGTTATCGGCAAAAAAAACTCCTTCCACCCCTTGCAACCGCCGCGTGAAGATTTTGCAAACCTGCGGCGCGCTTTTTCTCACATTTCAGTGTGTTTCAGACAATTTTTCATAGAGAAATGGGACTATTCGAAATTTCAAGAACTCAAGAAGCACAATTATGTCAAAAACATACATCTCTTGAATTTTCGTCATACCTGAAATACTGAAAATGAATTAAAGGGTAACAAGCAAAGCTAATACAATCGCAAGACGCTAAAAAAGTGTTTTTCGAATTCAATAAGTATACACTGTAAAGAATTCAATAAAAACACATTGAAATGAGAGAAAAAGAGATTTGACGCCGTAGAATTGCAAAATTCTCACGCGGCGCTTTCAGGAGTAGAATTTTTCTGCAATCACAGTAATGTGAAAAAAACGTAATCGTACCGATTTAATTTTCTTTCAGCGGTCCGTAAAATCTATGAGAACCCAGAAACGGCAGATGAAGTGCTTAAAAAGCTGGAGGGAGATTTGAAAAAAGTGGCAGGATCAGTCGGAATCAAGCTGAAGAAGTCGTATACGCATCTGGTGGCTTTCGGCACAAATTTCGATGTTGAAGAACGGCTGGCAGACACAAAAACCTTTAGATTTGCGAGTCAGATGGCGGTAAATTACTTGGCTTGCTTAAACATTTAAAAAAATATGTCTTTACAGGAAATCAACAAGTTCAAGGCCTTCCTAAGCCCTCATGGGAATCTACTTGGATTTACAAAAGTCTCTCTCCGAGGACTCAACAAGCCACAGATCTACTGGAAAGTTCCTGGATGCCGTACCTGCGCCCATTTGGAAAATAATGGACTGGGATCCATTAATTACAATATTGGACCAGGAACCTGCATTTGGTATGGGATTCCATTGGAATGGGCTGGAAAGTTCCAAAAGCTGCTGAAGAAGAGGCTAGGAGAGGATTTGGGAAAAGCTCTTCATTCCAACGATTATTGGCCATCGGAGGAGGAAATTATTGAAGAAGGGATTCCACTCCAGAAGTTTTGCCAAAAACCAGGAGATTTGGCCTACGTCGGAAATGGGACTTACCATTGGGTGCAATCAAACGATTTCACGACCAACATCTCGTGGAATATTGGACAGCCAACATTTGTTCAGCTGGCCACGGCGGCGGTTGTCAATGATAACTATTTGGCGAACCAAACCTATTCGATTATGCCATTGGAAACGATATGTTGGAACATGATCATCGAGGGCTTTGAGATGGATCAGCGAATGAAAGAATTGGTGAAAAGGATGGCTATGAGGTAAGAAATCCAGTTCTATAAGACAAATTTTGAAAATAAAAAATTCAAGATCTCTCTCCAAAACTCAAAGCCAACTTGATTTCTTCGTCAAGAAGAATATCAAGATCTTCGCTCCCAGCCAGCTCAACAAGGGGATCTATGGGACTGAGAGATGTCGCTTGTGCGCCGACAACCTCTTCAACTACATCCCACTCATCTCCACCTACACGTCCAAGGATCCGAGGACCGGAGAGCCCATCAACACTTTGCAGCCATACTGTATCAAGTGTGTGGAGAGGTGAGGAATTCGTATGTATTTAAGTTATTTAAACTACGTGGTGTTTTAGTTGCCAAGAATGGAAAGGGTGTAAAGTGTACTCCCGGCACACAATGGAGGACCTCGTCAAATACTTGGATTCCATGGAGCTGTAAATGAGAACTTGTACGTCTAAATCTTGTACCAATCATGTCTCTGAGATACTTGGTATTCAAATTTTTGTTCTCGTGTCTTCTTCGTTTTTCTGTGAAACGTTTTTGGCCCAATTCACTCATCTTTGAACCACTAACTTCTCGATCCTTCTATGTATTTTTATCGGTGTTCAACCCAATTTCAGGATATATCCTTACTTTTGTACCACTCTTTCTTCCCTCCCTTCTGTTCTGATAATCATATTTTACTCCCATGACCTGTATGCAGCTTTTGCAAGTCTACGTTTGACGTATGGTTCTGAATTTTTTTTTCATCTCAATCCCATTTCTTTCCCACTGTTTTCACCCCCCAGTTCCTCCGCCACAAAAAGCCCACATGCAGCTCTTTCTTGTCCCCTACCCCAACGATTTTTCGAAGAATCTCGTACTGTCACTGTTCAAATTTTTAGCATCTTCTAATTTTGTCAACAGTCCAATATCAATTTTCCCCACCTTTGAGCTTTCTTCCATAGGAAATCATCCTCTTGTTCTTTCGAGCCACACATCGTCCTCTTTCATATAATTCAAAATTATTTATTTGGTCAAATCAATAAAATTGTCGTGATAAGTTCAGTTTTGTAGACATGGTTTCAGATAAGTTGCGACTTGAAAATCGAAGACGTCGAAACTTTTCGAGACAGATGCACCGGTTGCGCTGGATCGGACTGTTGACTGGCAAAGCTTAGTTTTCTGAAGAAATCCCTAATTTTAAGAGAACTAGTACTCTCCTTACCTTGTAAGCATTGATGGATTTGTAGATGTACTGCACCTTCGTATCAAAGGCTTAGGTGGAATGGTTCCGCTTTCGACACTATCATAAGTTTGAGGTTGAGGAAGACCAATGGTAGACACTTTACGACCCAATTGACCATAACTAATGGATTTTCTGAAATTATTAGTATAATTACAATTAATTATTTACAGCACTGGTCAATTAGATATACAAAAACGTGTTTTTAAATTGATTTTTTGGCTTTTTTGATCATTTTCCGGAGTCTGGAGCTCGGCTGTCAAGTGTAAGACAACTTTGAAAAAATTTTAGAAATATAAAACACTTACATTTAGATTGAAAACTTTGTATTCACAGAATTTTTTGAAACTCACTAGTTTTACAGCTACTTGCCATTTTTTGCAAGACACCTGTTTTTTTAGGTTTTCAGTGCAAAAACGGGTTAACAAAGGGTGTCTTTCAGAAATCAGCAGGTAGCTGAAAAACCAGTGATTCTCAAAAATATCTGTAATAGAAAATTGATAGTTTGGGTCTGTTTACCATTTCCTTAAATTTTCAAAGTGATCAGAAACTTAACATTCGAGCTCCAAACTCTTGAAAATTGTTAAAACTACCGAAAATTTACTGAAAAAGATGTTTTGGATGTTTTATTGAGAGGTATTGTAGGTTTTTCAACGTATCTTATTACCTGCTATGCTTGGAGAGTGGAGATAACAGCTGTGATGGGATGCTGACAGATCCACGCGGAGCTGAGAACAAATCTCCTCCTCTTAACTGAAAAATCTTTTATAATAATTGAAACACCTTTCCAAAGCTTACCATGCGACTGTTTCTTCTGTCTAGATGAATATGAATCGAGTTTCCAGACATCTTTCGATCCGATGCGGGGAATCTTGGCATTTTCTGGAACTCGAATTGATTTTCAAACCTTTAGGTTTATGAAAACTTACTGTATCTTCATCGTTGCCTCCATTTTGAATAATAACGATACTCTGTGCTCGTTCTTTCTCTTCTTCAGCAACCGCATCAACGAATTGTTGTTGCCTAGTGGAGTTTACAGTTCCCCAGACGGATTTGAAAAGATAAATGAAGATCTCGAGAAGGGTGACCTGATACAAAAATTGTTTAGGATATCAGAAATTTTTTATTTCTCACAGTACTCATTCCGAGGAATAGTCCCATACTTCCTGCAATGTTGGATAACAAATCGGCCGTTTGTAATTGTTTTTGCTGTTCTATTCTCTCATAGGCCACACGCGAGAAGTAAAGGCTCACGTGGGAAATGTCATTTCTGAAAAATCATTTACAAACAAGCATTATACCGAAAAAATGTATTTTTTGGGCTACTATAAACTTTGAGCTATGATATACGAGAAAGTTCTCCACAGATAAAATGCTTGTAGTTTTAAGAAAAAATTTATCAGTTGATAAAGTTATGATATCTTTTGTGAAAAGCTAGATAATCCAGTTCAAAGAGTCATGGTGAATACTTTAAAAGAACTCACTGAACTTGAAAACCAGTAAACCCTCTGCTCCTACTATCCAAGTCTGAGTAGCTGTTGGTGACGTCAAATTCTAAAAGATTACACTCTGACGGACAATTACATCCATCATCCCAACGGTTGTCATTTCCTGAAACACACATTTTTGTATAGGTGTTTAGTACAGTGCAAAATTGCTGAAGTCTTTGTAAAATGCTCACCTCTAAGTTGTTGAAAACAAGTGGAAATTTCCAATGGTGTGCATATGGGAAAATTGAAGTTCTGGAACATGGTTCTTGCGGAATAAGCCATCGGTGAGCATCCACATTCAGTTTGAACTTTTCGCAGTTTACAGTCAATTTCACAGTGATTAGCGGTGTACTGTAATGTGGATGTCGTGCTATAGATGGGAAAATACCGCTAAATTTTACTTGAATCCCAACAGTGTCATTTCGAGTCCATCCTTTGGAGCATGAACCCCAGTTGGCTTTGTCTAGTAGAGAAATCTAAAATATTTGTTGATACAGTCCAAAATTTATGATTTACATTTTTCATTGCAATGGCAGCATGTAGATGAGAATTCGGCGACACGGCTACACCATAAGAATTGATTCTTGGATATTTGTTGGACTCGTGAACCATTATAAGGAATCCTCGTTCAGGATCATATTGTGTGTTTTGATAGACTACAACAATTATGAAAAATTTTCAAATAAATCGGATTCACATACTTTCGGGATCTTCGTTATTTCCATTCAGAGTCAACTCCCACCCAAATCCATTTCCACTATACCACTGTCGATATTCATTATTTTTATTGGATAATCTGAAATTTGCCAAACTTCTGAAGTTTGTGAAAATTGAAGCATACCTAAAGCATATCCCAGTTTCTGTCATTTCAGTAGTAACATGTTGACAGCAGTTTTCCAATTTCTCCCTTCCAAAACTACAGGAAACGAATGTTTCCTCACAAGTCTTGCTGAAAATCGGAACTGTTAATAAAATCAGAAAAATTCAAAGGACAAATACCTGACAGACTGCAGAAAGCCATTTACATCAAATGCGGTTCCTTTAGATTCCTTATAGCTTTCGATGAATTGTTGAAACTTCTGATTCTCCATCAAGTTGGCAGAGTTACGAGATTTCGTCTGTAAAAAACAAATCGACGAAAAAATTCTCGAAAACGTCTCACTATCTCATTGAAGTATTTCATAATATAGGCCAAATTGGAGTCCGAAGCATTCATTTCTCGCACTTTTGACAAATCCAATGGATTCAAATTACAAATTGTGACTTCGGGAAAGGATAAACCTGTGAAAAGTATTTCCGTTGGTTAAAATAATGAAAAATCTAACCAGTCATGGGTACAATAGTGTTAGTTTGGAATAGTGTGGGTTTGGAATGGTACCCCAGAAGTAAATAACCACTCTGAAACATGAAAAAGCTTCTTATTTTGATCAATTTTATATCAAAAACTCACATGAATCATGAAAAGCGACAAACAAGACAGGACAACTACGGACCAGAAAATTCGGGATGGCCATGTGTTAGAATTGTAAATTCGGACCAGTCCATGATACGTTGTCAGTCCTGAGAACTCCTGGAAAAAGTTTAAAAAGTTTCAATGAAGTGCCTTTAATAAAAGATACCTTGGTTTCATAATCATACAGCTGTAAATATATTCTTTCATTTTGATTCTCCGTTTCCATAATTTTCAGCCAAAATCAATAATCAAACAAAAGGGAAATTCAATTGTTAGCGCATGAAACAGAGTAATCATCTTTCCCATCTCCAACTGATGCACAGTCTATTCCAATCTACTCTTATCAAAATTTTCCAGCTGTGAGTTTTTGGTCATAAAAAAGTGTCGACGTCATAAAAGAAAAAAAGTTGGAAAGAATATTTTAAAACAGTAATTTGGACTATTTTTGATATACATACAGTACCACCCAAAAGTATATCAACTTTTGGAAAAATGTAGGCTCAAAGTTGAAAGTTAGGAGGCCCTTCTAATACAGGTTTTACGGTAGTTGTTTTATATTGTGCCGATAATTAAAACAACAAAACTAAAGAACTATTTAAAGAATTTCAGCAAAAAATAAAATTATAATTTTTGCTTTTTTGAAAATAAACACAACTTAAACTTTACTTCCTCGTGTGCTCTCGTTTTTTTCGAATCGTGTCTCATATTTCCAGACATCCAAAGCACATCCATTTTTTTCTCGATAAGCGTCATGTGTTCTCACATCTTTAGTTCAGTGCCACATTCTGAACAAACAGGTGGACCTCTTTTCAATGTGCACACACCATTCTGGCTTCGAAATGGACACTTTCATTGAAAATTGTTTAACTGTATAGTTCGAAAAACTTCTTTTTCTTTTTTTCGAGTTCTTATACTTTTCACTAGAAGCTTCTAAAAGAGTTTGTTTTTTTTATTCAAATGTTTATAAAATGGTTTCCATTTCAGTTCTTCTTGTTTCCTATTCTCCACTCCTTTTACTTTACCAAACTCCCCAGTTTTTCTAGAAATGTTCAATTGTCAGAAGAAGAATTGATTGATTCCAAATTCTCACGAAATTCTCTGAGTTAATCTCTTCCTCCCTCTTCTTATTCTTGCCAAGCTCTAGACTCTCACACCCTCTCGTGTGCTCTCATGGATATGAAATAAAGAATGCATGTGCACTCTGATGTTGTTTCTTGTTGCAAGCGAGTGGTGAAAAACTAGATTCAGTTTGTAAATAATTTTCTCTTCTTTACACGTTTTGTTTCTGAAAACTTATTCCATTTTTTTTCAGAAATCAAAATGGATGGAATGGTTGCAATGCTCCCAACTCCACTGCAAAATTGGTCTACTCATTTGGATTTTGAGGGCCAGAAACTGGCTGAGCGTATTTATAAGGTCAGTTGAAAAAAATTCAGATATAGTGCCGGACGAAAACCAATCAAAAAGTTACCATTTTTGTTCGAAATGGTCAATTTCGGGTGTCTGAAAAAGTACTTATTACTTGTCGGTATTTCTCGAGCGAGTGAGTGCATAAAAAGTTTTCAATTACGAAAATAGAGTTCTAGATTTGTCTTATAATCTCTCAATTTTTCAGATTTGCCGGACCAGTTGCAATATTTTTCAAATACCTAAATATGGCCATTTTGAACTAAAATGATTATTTAGGGATATACAGGGTGGCTAATAAATACTGATACACAACTAATTTACACGCATACACAGAAGTGGAATCGGGTGCATTTTTTGAAAATCTTGTTTATTACATCTTGTTTTATATATTTGCAAAGTTTCATGTCTTTTTTTCCATTTTGAAAGAAATCTCAAGCTTTACCGAAACATGCAGCGATAATTGAAGTGTTAGTTACGCAAAGACCAATTCGGACGTCGTGAAAAAGTTTAAGGTGTCGAGTATCTAGTTTAAGAAAACTGCTGTACGTTACCAGAGATTTGGGCTTCTAGATGACTTTCCAAAAGTGACCATCCAACCACCGTGACCGCTCCAGCTGTCGTTAAAGCTTACCGGGTGGAAGTCCGTCAAAATCCGGAAAAACCCCCAGAAAGTTGGCCAAAGGCTTCAAAATTTGTCACAAAATGAAAAAAACTATCGCCAATCAGAAGCTCTACTTCCATTCTTATCGAAAAGAGAAAGAGGTGTTCCGGACGAGGAAAATTCAGCTGCTTCGGAAGAAAAAAGCACAACATCTTCTCGGCGGCACGTTAGCCATTTTCAAGTCAATTTTGCAATTTTTGATGATGAAATATTTGATGTTGAGGCTGACTAGAACGGTAAAACAGCCGTATTATTTATACTGACTTCGAAGTCGTTTGTAAAATAGAAAAAAAATGCATCTAACAAGCCAAGGGTCGTGCCACAGACACCCAACAGTGGTTCACGGGCTAATTTTCAGGTTTGATGTGGGTTGCATAAAAGCAGGCACTGTCGCTATATGTGAACCAATCAGACTATGCCATTCAGAGATATTCTAGCCAGGGGGTCGTCACGGAAAACTACTCAAGTTTGGATGTTTTGCTGGTTGTTCACAAGAAGTTATGGGAGGATCATCAGCCGAAGAGACTGCATGCTGTGATCAACTCTTGTCCTGAAGGAATCGAGCTGTCAACAAAACCAATGGTGGAAGATTCAAAAACTTTTGCAAAATTTTGTATCTCTATCGTTTCAATAATCTAATGTTAAAATTTCTACAATTTTGAAAGCTTTTTTGAATGAGTTATGACGTTTTGAATGTGTATCAGTATTTATTAGCCACCCTGTAGTTTAGAGCTTCACTGTAGATCTTTAGTATCTTTTTTAGTATCAGATTTTATCAAGTTATGTAACTATATTTACAGATCACTCTCACTATCTCTGGAGTGGTCGGCTTCTTCGTTGGATTCTGGACTCAACAACTTTCCTATGCTTTGTACACTGTCATGGCTGGAGCTCTCATCACAGCTCTCGTCGTTCTTCCACCGTGGCCGTTTTTGAGAAAGAATCCTATCGAGGTGAGTCACTCAACGTTTGGAGATTTTCGAAAATTTCTGAAAATTAAAATTTCTATTTCCCACTTCCTTATTATAAACAATTCTCAGTGGCACACTCCCGCCAAACCAGAGTCAATGATGCCATCTCAGCCAAGTGATGACAAAGTGGTGGATAAGAAAGCAGCGGACAAGAAGAAAGCGGACAAAAAGAAGAAGGAAGCAAAGAAATCCAAATAAATCGTTTTCCTGAAAGTATCTTTGCAATAAGCTAATCCAGTAATTTGTAAAGACATAAATTTTATTGCAAAAATCATTTTACCTACTGCATGCATAACAGTGATAAAAGTTGTCGTTTCTTCATTCTCTCTCTTTTTTTTTCTCATCATTTTCCACGTTTTTTCAGCCTGAATAAAATACTAATTAACCATTAAATGGGCTATCTTCCAGATTCAACACCTATTCTTCAAAACTAGATTTAATTTTGCAACGCTGCAAAGATCTCTTTTTTCCAGCTAACTTTAAAAAAATCTGCATGCAAGTTTTTTATTTGAAAATGTTTTCAATCGACAAATATTTCAAGTTTTGATTTTTGAAGGGGTATATTCGAGGAAGAGAAGCGGGTGAAAAGGAATCAAATGTTTTTAGAGACGCGAAGAAAGATGCAGTTTGAAGATAAGGTACGTGGAATGTCACAGGAAATCGGGACAATATGCATTAGAGATATTTGAAATTGGGAGAAAACGTTTATTGGGGGGGGGGGGGGGGGATTCATTGAATGGAGTCGGTGAGATATAGAAAATGTCACAGAAAATTGTGACAAATATGCATTGAGGATCATATGCATTGAGGAGTTTGTCTGAGTAATTAGAAGTTGGAGAGTTATAGTGAAGTTTAGCAAAGCATCGCATAGTATAACGGGTAATCCATTTTGGATTTTACTCTGTAAAATTATTTTTAAGTTTCAAATGATCTCTTTAAGGTCATATACCTTCTGTGTCGAAGTGGTATTGAATGTAGGGACCGTTGTGTTCGTTTTCTTTGTCGATATCGTTGTTTTCACAATGAATCTCTGTTTGATTGGGCATTGGATGCAAGACTCCAAGACCTTCTGAAATTCAAATATCTCATTTAATAAAAAATGCCTATCATTGTACCTGGAGTATCGCTATCAGGAACGTAAACTTCATCAGTGCCATTTTCACTGAGAGTATCTTTTGGATATTGGGAATTATCATCAATCCAGGAGACATTAGGTTCTGGCTGCGGGACTTGAACTGGAGAAACAGGCTCAAGGTTCTCTGAATTCGTTCAAATGTTGAAACTCAAATTTTTCGCTACAAGTTACCATATGTTGCGTTGGTGATAGGAGCGAATAGTTTCTGATCTAGATCCCCATTGAAAGAAGTGTCTGTCTCCTTTATTTCAAGCACCTGCCCATCGTTTTCTGGAACATATTTTTGCCAAAATGAAATTACCCCGAACCTCATACTTTTAACATTTTCATATTCGATGATGTCATTGTCTCTGTTAATTTTGATTCTGATTTTACATCCACTTGGAGTTTTCGATTCCGAAGGTAAAGCAGGGATAGCAAAACCGTCTGCATCAATTAGTCCATCTAAAAATTTGTTAGTCTGTTTGCACACTGGAATTATTAGTAACCTGGATAGATGAGATTTCTGAGAGCAGCATTGTATCCGGCTTGAATGTTGTGATTAATGCTTGCAGGTTTGGGAAGATCATTCATTTTGTCTAAATAGCATAATTGGGGTTATTTGAGTGTTAATTCAACAAATGTCGGCTCCGTAGCGTTTCAAAAGAGAGGCATTTAGAAGCAGAAACTTCTAAACTAAAACATTTCGCAATTGGAAGTTTTGGTTAAAGAAATTTCGAAATGGGGACATTTCGAAAATCGACATTTCGCAAGCGGACATTTCGAAATGTTGAAATTGCGTGTCAAACATTTCTTTTCGAAATATTTATTTTTTTGTTTAGTATTACTTTTATACAGCTACTTGCGTGTTTTTCACTGTTTTCAATTTAAGACTTCCGCTTTTTTTTTAGTAAAGAATTTCAAGATTTTTGACTTTACGTTCAGTTTCCTCTATACGTTTTTTTGATTTTTACAGATACAGATTAGTTGTAAGAAACATGCCCAAACGAGTGTTCAAACCGATTTATGTTCATGATGGCTTCACTTTACGTACTGTACAAATATTATCGTCAGGAGACGAGCTTCTTCATTGCACGCAAAGGTTATTTTTGCTTTTTTTTTTTAATTCTCAGATCTAGGATTTCAGGAAAACGTCAGTGAAATGTAACGCACTAGGAAGACGAGCAGTGGATGGATTTATTTCAATCTCAAAACCTCATTCCGGTCATTCTGCAGACGATGAAGTTGCTATTGTAAGAAGTTCATAGTTTCTAATTGAGAAAACTTTTGGTTCCAGGCAAAAATTGCACGTATCAAAATCAAAGAAAGGGCTCAATCATCAGCTGCGGCTCCAAAAAATATTCTTAAAGAAGTGAGACGGAAGTACGGTGCTCGCCCAGTCATGATTGCCGGTTCAACATCTACACTCGGTCGGTTAATCAGTAGGCAACGTAATAAAAAACAATGCGATACTGCTGCTGATGTCAATGCTTTCGTTTTTCAAGAAAACAATAATGAGCTCAAGATAAATCAAATACTTAATTTATTAGAAAACATAGAAGAAGCGTCTCGTTCTCCAGAGAGATGTTAGCTTATCGAAAATGCTTGAAAATTTAACTACTTCTATGTTTTCGCCTTCTTATGATATGAATAAAAATACAAAATGCTCATTTTCGATTTTCTAAAATCTGATTTATCAAATATTGATTTCAGGAATTTGATGAATTACATAATTCAGTATGTAGAATACTATTTGAAAACGCAGAAATGGGAAACTTTCAAATTCCCAAATTTCAAGCCTACTTTCTTTCAAATCAACAACTGTTACCTTTCTTCTCATTCAAATCTCTCTTTCTCTTCGTACTTCTCTTTTTCTTCAAAACTTTCTTTCTCTTCAAATTGATTTCTGGCAGTCGCGGAATTGCAAAATCGTTCTCATCATCAAAGACAGTTGGGAAAAACGGCATGTTTGGGAAAATAGAGTTAGTACTGCCACGAAGAGTGCTCTCAGAGTTAGCCACGCTGATGTCAACCACGGTGTTAGTTTCAACTGAATATGTATTAAAAATAAGTTATGTTATTGGGGGAATATTCTCTTACGTCTTGGTTTTTTGGCTTCTGGCTCTCCATCTGGTTTTTCGTTTTTGTCTTGAACACTTTCGGGTTGAGGTTCTGGTGCGGTCGCCACAGCTGGAATAAAATTACTTTTGATTCAGATTTTCGAACCACATTTGTCGTATTAGTTCTGGTAAGTGTTAAACTATGAAGCTACTTAATCTGAACCAAGGACAAGGGATAGTGTGTTTTTTTTTCTGGTTGGACTGTTTGTCTCGAAAATTTTGGCAATCGTGTAAAATCACACCACAACGTTTCACCCACTTTCTTCTACAATCAAATTGAGTTCATTTTCGATTTTGCCCTCATCTTCATCATTATGATTTTTTAAGTCCCTTTCATAAACCCATTTTTCATACGCCAGCGAACTAGCAACGACTGAAAACAAAACCCCTCCAAAATTTCCCATGAGACAGTAAGCTTACTCATATCTCCAACTTTGAATCCTTCTTTCTTCTTGTTGGCATCATTAGCATCATCAAGAGGAGCATTCTCTGCTTCTGCGTTTAAAGCTGCAATTCAACAAAAGTTAAACTTTTTCTCAATAATATTTAAACACTACCTTTAATATCAATACCAGCCTTTGTCCAAATATTGGACAATGGCTCGTGCCCATCAACAGCAGGAGCAACACTAGGACTTGGTACATCGTGTGAATTTTTTGAAATTTTGATGAGCAAACCGTTGCTATTTTGACAGTTCATGAAGTCAATGTGTTCCTCTGAAACAAAAAATTCTATTCGGGACCTCTATCTGACTCTCACCATTCACACCATTCACTCCATTTGTTTCAATTAAAGCAATCATTTGCTCGTCGCTTAATTCCTGATACGCTGAACAATTCTTGTCGTTAATCGCTGCTGCCAGCAACTCCTCATAGAGTGTTGTGCTTTTTTCACATTCTTGTGCGCGCCTTGGCTTGATCACGCCCTCGACTAAATTTCAAAGTATTTTCACACTAACTTATATCTAATTTTCTTACATGGGCGGTTTCCTTGATCGAAAAGATTCAAGGGAATGGTATTGCCTTTTAATGAATCCATATATAATTTCAACTCTTCTTCTTTTTCACGCAAATTTTTCTGAGCATTTTCAAAGTTCATAGGCCATCCTTGCTCTGAAAATCTAGTCATTAAATTCAGAATCAGTAGTTCACAAAACCTCTTTTTCCGTTTTCATCACGCAGATTCTGGAAGTGCGCAATTATAGCTAAGGCTTCCACTTCCTCTGCTAAATTCTCGGGCTGTCGTTTTCCTAAAAATGATTTTTTTCTAACATTAAGTTTTTTGAATAAATTTTCTAGTTACATTTAAAACTGACGCAATAACCTTTAAAAGTAGCAAATCCTATCTATATGCGTACTTTGAGCTCAACTATCTCGGTTTCTGTGAGAGATACCGAAAATTGGTCAACTGATAAAACAATGGTGATATTGTGATCTATGCTTTATCAGTGAAACTTTTTCAGATATCTTTCAAGGGAACTGAGAAAATGAGCTCAAAGTGCGCAAGAATGGACTTCAATTATCTCGATTCCTGAAAGAGACATCAAAATATGTCAACTGTTAAAATGTTAGTGATATCATGATAAAAAATTATCAATGAATAATTGTTTAATATTTCTTGAAGGAACCGAGATACCGTATTTCCTCTAATAGAAGCCCACCTCTATTTGAAGCCCACCTCTAATAGAATCCCACACCCACGAAGTGCTTTGAAAAATAGAAGCCCACCCTCTAATAGAAGCCCATGGGCGTCTATTAAAGAAAATACGGTAAAGAAAAATTCCAGAAGTTTTGGGGAGTGTGATTTAAGAACTTGAAAATTTCTCAATTTTTGATCTACAGAATTCCGTAATTTTGAATTTAGAGATTCTGTAATCTCAGAATTTCATAAATTCGTGATTTTGTGGTTTAAAATTGCAGAATGAAAACTTCGAATAAAAAAAACACCGAAATTCAGAATTCTTAACTTCCGAATTGTAAAATTTCTGATTTTTTGAACAAAATTTTTTTTGAAAATTAATCATTGAAAAATAGAAGTCCACCCTCTAATTGAAGCCCACCTCTAATAGAAGCCCACCCTGAGATAGAGAGGTTGAAAAAAAGAAGCCCATGGGATTCTATTAGAGGAAATACGGTAATTGAGCTCAGAGTAGACGTATACAGTAGGCTTCTATTAGATGTTATTTCTCCAGTTTTTAATGCAACGAGATCAATCGTCTCCGTTTCTGTGTGAAAAATCAAAAATCTGTAGGGAAATGTTGGTGATGAAATGATAAGCAATTATCAGTTGAAATAGTTTTGATATCTCTTACAGAAACCGAGATAATCAAGCCGAAAGGACAATTATAAGTTGGTGCTGCTTCAGGATCAATATCTCGGTTGTTGTAAGAGATATCAAAAATTTGTCAACTGATGAAACATTAGTGCTACTGTGATAAATGTTTTATAAGTTGCAACTTTTTTGATATCTCTAAAAGGAACCAAAGTAATTGAGCTCAAAGTACACGTAAAACCATGCATTTTCTCACCTTTTGCAGCTTTTTTGAATTTCCGGAGGTATTGTTGTTGCCTCTTCTCAAATTTTTCTTCCAATGATACAGTACGGGGTTTAATGTATGGTAGCTCTTCATCAGGTTCACAAGCTTGGGTGATCAGCTCCTCAAAGTGTTTTGACATCACCACATCATTGATGTCGTCCATGTCCGATACAAAATGACGATTGTCATTGATATCCTTCAAAGTCCAAAGAACTTGTTGCATTTTCGACACAAACTCCTTAAAACTGCCGTTGTCCCATTCATCTTTTCTATTTCGAAGCAGCTCGGATTTCTTTGCAGCCCACAGAGGAAGAATAGTATCTCTGAAGGGCAAGCAAATTCTGTGGGACTTCTGGGCGATGTATTTCATTCTTCGTACAGTTCTTCGGGGATCGAGTGCGTAAGTCCAATAGAGTTTGGCCTTGGTTTGAATGAAATATGAATTCTCATTGAGCTCCTCTAGTTGAAAGCAGATTGGTACAGCGCATACTAGAATCCGATTTGTAAGGGAATACGATTCTTTCATTTTTTCATAGGCAGCAACTAGGGAGTTGTAATCCACATCATCAATGGCTTTTTTAAACATTTTATTACAATTGGCTGTCAACGTCTTGCCCTCGGCGAACATATAATCAATTTTGCGGCATGATCGTTGTGCCCAATTCGCCACTTTCTCACATTCAAGCATTTCTTGGTTAATGTCTTCGTGAAGATTTCCATCAATGATTTCGGAGCAGTCGATTCTCCACAATTCTAGCAAATCCTGATTTCCCATTATTTCGATGACACTGATGAACTTCTGATATAAGAATTCCGGATCTGAGTTCATCTCGCAACTGGCGGTATCCTCGAACACTTTTCTCATGAGATCTTCCGTGTAGACAGAAACAACAAACAACTGCTCTAGTTCGTTCTGTTTTTCCTTTGATTGAGGCTGCTTGATCCAAGTATTTATTGACGTTTTGGTTTCACAACGAAGCTTTTGAATTGATGAAGTGGTTTCGTAGTTTCGAAGTTCGGATAGTTCATGCTTCAATTCGAGATAACGTTGATAATTCGTCTTCAGGTTTTGAATCACTGCGGGAGCATCACGCTGAAAAATGTTCCTGTGACTCCCGAAAAACCGAACATAGGATCCTAGTTCTCATAAGAAACGGCAAAATTCTTTCAGAAAAACTTGGAATAATTTTACCTTCCAAAACATTGTATTTGAGATCTCCTATTTTGTCTATAATATAATTATTTTTGTCATTTCAAATCTTGGCGGATTATAAATCATTCAGTCACGCAGAGCAGAATCTACTGACAAAATTATGGAATGTAGGCTAAATTGTTTATCAGAAAGTCACATAAAAAAACTAATTTCGTTGATCATAACAATATGATAGAAGACTAGGATTTGGCACCTTTTAATTTTTTAAAAATTAGTTTGAGCGGAAAATATGGAAAACTGAGATTAGTGGTATAGCATAGCTTAAAAAGTCGAATAGAATGCCCACAGATCGTCAACGTTGAGTTTATATATCTCATTTCATGTAAAAAACATCAAACAATTGTCAACGGACAAAATGTTTATCATGGAATCAACGATATTTTGTCAGTTAATCACTTTTTGTCATCTTTCACGGGAACCGAGATTAACTGGCACAAAGCTGAAAATAATGTGATTATTCTATTCGAGTGCTAACGATAGTTTTTAAGGATGAAATACCAGAGATGTCAGGAATTAAAATTTTTGAACTCTGAAGTCGAAAGTCGGAAGTCGAAAGTAAAATTTCATTTTCAGAAGTTTGAAGTAAAATTCCAAAGTTTTCAATTTTTTAATAGCTATCAGCCTACTGTTATTTCGGAGCATAATTTACGGTATTGACGCAAATTTGGAACATTTTTTGTTTTTTTTCGGTCAAACATGAACAAATTTCGCAACATTTTTTGCAAAAATTCGTTGGCCGAATTTGAGAGTTTGAAGCCGGAAGTAAAACTGATTTTCCGGTTGTCGGAAGTAACATTTCGAACTAGGAAGTCGGAAGTGAAAAAATGGAAGTCGGAATTCTCGACATCTCTGTGAGATACGGGAGATCGGAGGAAAAATATTTGCATTTGTTGGTAAAAGGTGGAAAAAAGTGGTGGACTAATTTTTAATTTTTTGAAAAAATTAGGTATTCTGCTGGTATCTGATATTTATTTTGTCTTATAATATTAAAAAAAAATTTGGAAAATGAAATAACGGAAGCAAATAACAATGATGAATCGACTCTTTTGGAATGAAATTTTATGAAAAATGTCAAAAATGAGATCCATCAAAAAATTGCACAAAATGAAAATCTAATATGAACTTAGAATAAGATATTGATTCTTTAATCGGATTGCGGAAAAAGTGCAGAAAATGACAATTAACATACAATGGTCTCAAAAAACTGCATTAAACGTTATCCAGTTTGAATTCTATCAGAAAAGCAAAAATTTAATTCAATGATATTCTGTTTGACTTAACTGCCCACTGAGACTAAGTGTGCCATATTTTTTCTAATAGGAGACAACCCAAACAGTCATCTTCGAGCCTAATTATCTCGATTCCTGTAAAAGATATCAAAAATGTTTCAACTGAGAAATTATTGATCATAATATTACCAATGTTTTATCAGTGGACAATATTTTTATATCTTGAACAGGTATCGAGATAATTGAGCTCAAAGGTGACGGTGTCTTGTGCTTATATCAGAGGAAATACGGTCTCCCATGTTCTTTGCTCGCATTCCCAGATCTGTGACCTCACCTTGTAAGTACAGACACGCCAGCGACAACTCGGAAGGATTATCTCTGGAGTACATATGCAGAGTTCCTTCTTATCTTTATTCACGCCTTCCGCACTGAAACGAATATTCCGCCAGTCACTAAAAGCGATTTTGTAAGCGACTATCGCCTCGGCCAACTCATCCATTTTTGCGGTCTGGAAACTTGTATTTAGAACACATTACTCTGAATATCCACTCACCACCACATCGGAATCTTGTGATCTACGACTGCACTGTCCCACATGTTGCCGAAATTCGAGTACTGCTTTTTGGACTGTCCCACAATAAACGCAATGGAAGTTATATCCTGTGATTGATAGGATTACATGTTTTGAATGGAGTGATGAAACTTACGAGTTTGTTTTCCTATATAATCTACAATTAGCTCCATGTCTGAGGAATACTACTTGTAATAAAGAATTCTTTAAATATCTAAAAAACAGATGAGAGAAGAAAAAAGAGCAAGAGAGAGAGAGAAGGCCGCGAAAGTTGATAATGACAAAGGTGAGAGGAATAGAAAGAAGGGAAGAGAGGTGAACTGAAGGGACAAGGGGATGGCTGTTGCTATGGAAATCATTTTGTTGTTTCGGAAAATGAGTCGGATGAAGATGAGATTAAGAAGTGAAAGAGGAGAAAGGTGCTCACCCCGTCTGTCCTCGTTTGTCGCGCGAAATATTGCATGCAAAGAAGATGGACTAATAGATGGCTATTCGGGAGCGTACGAGTACAAAAAAAAAGGGGAAATTGGGAGTGGGAGTGTTCGGAGGAAGACGCAAGCGGACACGAGGTTTTGCAGAGAGAAGCTACATTGCGGGATGCAAATACAAGCGTGTGCCCTAGACATCACGTGATTGTATTTTTGACGACGTGAAGACAGTACAAGTAATTCATAAGCAAACAACATAAGTATTATAATTTGAAGGGACGGAAAATTGGGAATATTAGAAGTCAAGGGTGATGGGGATGGCCTTTTCGGAATTTTTCGGAATGTTGAAAATGCCGAGTTTCAAAGATTTCGGAGTTCCGGAATCTTGTAACATCTTATTTATTTCGAATTTCGGAATTCCGGAATCTTTCGATAAGTCGAGTTTCAAAATTTCGGTATTTTTAAATATCGAAAATTGCGGTTTTCGAAATTTCGGAGTATTGAAATTTAGAGATATCCCGATTACTCAGATTTTGGAGAATCGAAAAATCAGAATTATCCGCTTTTGGATATTTTGGAATTCCGGATATTCGACGTTTGGAAAGTTTTGGAATTTCGGAATTTAGGATTTTCTGAATCTTCGGAAATTCCAATTCGGAACTTTGAGATATTGGAATTCGGAAAAATTTCAGAATTTCCAAATATTGGAATATTCCGATTTCCAGGCTTTCCGACTTTTCGAATCTCAGAATATTCAGATTTTAAAAAATTTTGGAATTTCGAAATATTCCGAATCTGAAAATTTTGGAAATTCGGAATATTCCCATTTTGAAAACATCGGAATATAGTGATTTTAAAATATTCTGATTTCTTAGAACTTGGACATTTGGAATATCGGAATATTCCTTTAAAAATTTTTTTTGGAATTTCGAAAATTCCAAATTTCAAAGTTGCGAAATTTCGGAATATTCCGGTTTCGAAAATTCTTCGGAAATTCCGAACTCCGTTCCAAACATTCCTCGATGTGATAAAGTAAAAAAAAAAGAAGTAAAATTTGAAACATGCGTATTTTTGAAGACAAGAATCTCAAACCGCATGAGTCATAACAGTGAGACACGAAATCAATGAGAAATTTTGATTTTTTTTGTCGCCTTCGCAAGAAACCTCAAACCTAGGAGATGAAACAAAACATATTCATTTGCAACAAATTTTGAGAGGATAAATGTCGAAATGAGAACGAATTCTACTCTTTATGTACATCAGTATGCCTGCGAAGTATAATTAAAAAAGTGCAAGCGAGGAGGGGGTGGGAGGGGGGGGGGGGGTGAGAAAAGAATAATAATTTATGTTTGAAATTAGAAGAAGCCGTATTTTTCTTTTCTACTTTTTGGCAAATGAAAGATTCTCAAATATCACATCAGTTTGAGGTGTTAATTTTGTAGGATGACGGGTTATATGTGTCGACAAAGTCTAAGGAGCATACATCTGGTGAAAGATTAAGTTTCATAGATAATGATCTTATCCTAACATTAAGTTATAATAAGCTTCAAAGGTTTGGAAGATTAGATAAAATTATGTGTTCTTTAGACCAAAGTTTTTCGAGATGGGACAAACCTGATAAGCCTGATCGAACAGACAAATCAAAGTATCAAGTTTCAATTCAAGTTTTTGATCTTCAAATATTGATATATGGTGGATCTAAAGAACTGAAACAAGAAGATTTTTCGAGAAATAAATTGACAGAGTTTAGTTGAAAATTAATTAAAAGGATAGTATATTTATTTAACAATGAGAAGTTTGATGAACAAACTACTGATATGGAACAAAGAAAAGTGAGAATAGCTTCAACAAATTATCCAATATTTTGATGGCAAGATGTTCAAAAGTTTCTACAATCACATAACTGAAGCAGAGGCCAAATATTACAACTGTACTAATCGAGAGACATTGGAGTAGTGTAATAACAATTTTCCTTTTGCTTCTTTTCTCCTTTCTCGCGTTCACAAACTTTCGAAGAAGACGCAAGTCGATTCCTGCAAGTATTGTATGTTCTTTTCAACGGTAATAGATTTTCAGGATGTCAATTTGTGCGGGTGGAAATTGAGAAATCCAGAGACAAATACCGTAACCACTCTAATAGAATGCTACCGAAGCGTTTCCTTTAGGCCTATATGTATCTCATGTTTTGTGAATGATATCAAAAAGTTGTCAACCATTGAATCGTAATCTCAAACATTTACAATTAAACACATTTTTGATATCTCACACAGAAAATGAGATATTTGAGCTCGAAGCTGACAGTTTGAGCGAGCTTAGAGGAAATAGGTATTTATGGGAAGAATAAATTTAAATTTCACAAGATCAAATACAAAAAAAACATATAAAATACAATATCCTTTCAGCATGACAATAATTACTTCGTATTGTGAAATACCGACTTTTCTCTGATATAAGCTCACTCAACCGTCAACAACGAACTCAATTACCTCGGTTCCTCTGGAATTCATCCAAAAATTGTTAACTGATAAGTTATTTATCATAAGTTGAAGAATTTTTTACATCTTTCACAGGAACCTAGAATAGAGCTAGAAGTTGACGGTTCGGCTATTCGAAGAAATACGGTACTGCAGACAGATTGAAAAACACTATAACATTTTTTTCAATGTTTCAGAGGAAAATTTTAAAAAAAGGGTTCTAGTTTCAGACAAATTTAAAATCTCCTACCTTGATTGTCATAAGCCAGCACAAAGTCAAGGCTTCTTTGGAAACGCTTCCTATATCTCATCGCTCGCTGTTCCTTCATCATCATCCTTTTCTTACTGGACATCTTTGGCAGCATCTTTGCAGAGATCAATTTGTTTTCTGGTACCTCTTCGATTTTAAAAGTTGTCATGTTGCGAATCAGACACTTCCCTTGATCTCGTGGGGTTTTCGGGGGAAGAAGAACACCTAGGTACCAGTCATGTGCGAGCAAATATTCCAAAATTTTGTTTAATTCAGTCTTGTCAGTTGTTGAAATGTACCTATCAGCAACAGGAACCTTAAACACAACATTTTGGTTCAAAACAAATATTGGAACCTACCATCTCCGATCCAACTTTGAATAACTTTAGAAGTTTCTCAAAGTCCTCACTCGATTTCCTGTGAATCATCACAAACTGTGTTTGACCTAGATTTTCGATATATTGGAACCAGCGACGGATACATTTCGTCCGGTATTTGTCCTGGAGCAATTGTAGTGTTTTGACATAGGCTCGAGTTCTTGTGAAAGTGAGTCTCCATTGACGGACTAATTTTCCAGCAAGACAAATTTCTTCCGATAATCCCGCCACTTGAAGAGCGTCCTTCCATCTTTTGAGAAGCTTAAAGTTACGGAGTCGATACTTTTGAAATCGAACTGATTTTCTCTCCATAACCCTCAAATAGTATTGCTTTGATCGTCTTTGGAGAACTTGTTCTTGAAGTCTTTTCTTTTTTTCAGAAACGTCCTTTACTGCTTTTTTCAATAATCTTCCGACTCTTCGTTGTTCGAGGTATTCTTTAGTTGCAAATCGGTTGAACAACATTAGTGGACTCCAAACGAATGTTGGCTCTTTTCGAGTGATCACCTACAAACATATCAGAAATAATGACACATTTTGGATTACCTAACTCACCACATTGTTCCTCATTTCTCTGGAAGGAATACTGTTAACACCCATCTTTATTTCTTGTTGTCAAAAAAAGCTAGGACAACAAAAAAAAAAGAATAAAAGTTGTGTTTTCGAGCAGTGTAGTGTGGGAGGTGTGGGATACTGAGTTTCTATGACAATGGGCGAGAAATCACCGGATTAGAAGAGTGAACCGACCAGAGTATAATCCACCAGTTGCACTCGTTCCTCATGGCTCGTGTAGTTTTTTAACCAAACGTGAGCAAGACATGTAAAAGAGGAAGATGAAGCCGAAGATTTTTAATTTCCGTTAAGTGTGAGAGGGGGAGCCGGAAAGGGAGGCAATAAAATGGGAAGAACTTGGATCCTCTGACTTGGAGGTAATGGAAATGAGTAGAGGTGCTCCTACAGTAATTCGGTTAGAAAACTTCGGGAACCACAGGGACTTTCCATTGTTATAGTGTTCAAAACTTTTGACTCAACATAAAGATAATTATTTTCTGATTTCCTGGAAATCATGAAAAGTATACTGTAGAAATTGTTTGGAGATTTGTGTTTCCTTTTCCCCATTTCACTTTTGAGTTATTGAAAGAAATAATCATATGTACAGTAGATTTCATTTTAGATGTTTTCTTATTTTATAATCCCTCCTCAAAATTACAAAAATTACAAGACCCACTAAAGTAGAATGAAACTTGAACCGTCAACTTTGAGCCAATGTATCTCAATTCTTGCAAAAAAAATATAAAATAGTGGTCAACTGATAAAATGTTCAGAATAATATCAGAAATAGTTTATCAGTTGATCATTTTTGAATATCTTATTCAGGAACCAATATAAATGGGCTCAAAGTAGAAAGTTATTAGAGAGTGAGGTCATTTTTTAGTAGTTACAGTAATCAGTTCTCTTTCCGATAAGCTTTCAGCCAATGAAACATATGAAAAGTGTCTATGACGATTCTTTTGTTTCAATAATTTCTCATCAATCCCTACTGATAAATCTGAAAGTTCCCAAACTTCATTCTTCCACTACCGGATGTAATCTAATCATACACTTCGCTGCTCTTTTTTCTTCATGTGAATTCTCATCCATATCAGGCCACTCCCACTTCCACCTGATCTCGTGAGATTAATGACGTGAACAGAGGGCATGCTTCTTCAGCGGAGAAGTATACGGAAAATTCCAGCGAGGGACTTTCTCTGTAAAGGAGCATAAAATCTGTAAAAGAAGGAAAATTTCTGGAACTTTGAATTTTTTCTAATGCGGTTTATTTCTTTTGTAGTTTTGTTCAGTAGAACGTCTCTTACAGTAATCCACAATAAATATCGTAAAATCTCTAATAGAAGAACTCCCACACTGTCAACTTTGAGCTCAATCATCTCGGTTCGTATGCAAGATATGAAAAATATGTCAACTGATTTGCGAGCTCATGACAAACAACTGATCAGTTGACAACTTTTTCATAACTTTCACAGGAACTGGGTTATACGGGCTTAAAGTTGAGAGTTAGAGGACCTTTTATTACAGGTTTTACAGTATGCTCGGTTTTTTTTCAGACAAAGTTTTCCAGTATGTGCTTCGTGTCATCAACGACTGTACAGTATTCCATTCCCAACCCTACTTTCCAACCCAATGTCATCTTTGGATCCAAATCAATCACATTCGTTTTCTACAGTAATCCAACACACATGGACCATCTCCTATGTCTGTTCTATGTCTGCTGACCAATTGGTCACACTCTCCTCATGATATAGGTAGTTGACGTCATCACAGTCTCCAACAGTCAAGAAGAGAGGAGAAGGCAACCTGACTTGTTCTCTGGCACACTGCCAACGGAGGAGAACGACGACGGCGGAGCGAGTTATGTGTGTCTATGTGTGCGCGTTGGCTGCGACGCGGCAGCAGAGACGACGTGTTCGGGGCAAGAGCCAGACGACGAGAGAACAGGAGAGACGCAGACTTGTGAGAAATAACACCGGAAGAAATAGTGTAGTGGATAATGATATATGTATCATGAGAGCGTTTCTGTTGGGTAGGGAACACAAGAGAAAAGTGTGATGAGAGGAGCGGTCCTGTGGTGAAGAGCGGTTCTGGCCTTCTCCTAGTTGAGATAGGAGAGAGAAAAGAAGGTGACGAGTCAGAGAAAAGTAGAGGAAGAAATCTAATAAGAGACTCCGGAGAAACGCGACTGCAATGGTAAGAGGGAAGAGAGTGGACTGCTAGTTAGTGGAAAAAAACCTGAAAAAATAAAAAAATTGACCGAAAAAAGATACACTAAAATAATTTGAGAGCTTCCAGAGTAGTGAATACATTGATGTGTGTACATTGAAATCTGATTTATTCGAATCGAGAATCTACAGTAATCCAAATTTGAAACAGACCTGAATATGCTCAAAATTTACAGTAATCCAAGCTTGAAATAAACCTGAATACGTTGAAAATCTACAGTAATCAAAGTTTAAAATGGACCTGATCATGTTGAAAATCTACAGTAAACCAAGTTTCAGCTCAAAGTTTATCTCGAATTGTCATTAGATCTGTGAAATGGAAAATATTTGAAGATTTTAGTCTTGATGAAACTGAAGAGCAGACCAAAACCCTCATTTTTTCTCTTAAAAACATTTTTAAATTGAAGAGTCACTGTGAAAAACGCAAAAAGATCTGCACGAAGTGGGATTCGAACCCACGCACCCATACGAGTACCAGAACACCCAGTTAACCTCGAACTTGAGGCAAGCGGAACGCTTGAGTCTGGCGCCTTAGACCACTCGGCCATCCGTGCTACGAAAGTAAAGAGAGGAGACCAAGTACACATACGCCACATTTTCTGTCTCTTTTCTCGTCTCGCCTCGTCGCTTGTCGCTCTTCCCCGCCGCTATTCTGTTTTTTACAAAATTAAGTGTGCATTGGAACGACACACACGCAGAGATACAAACGTATTTGAAGATTATAGCTATTGACAAGTGATTCATTTTTTGGTGGTGATTGTGAAAATTGCATACCGATAAACGGATCATCCGGAAAGTTGGGTTGGTTTAGGAACATATGTTACCAGTTATCTTGATTAAATTGGGAAAAGAAATTGCACTGGTGTACTGGAAATTGACAAAAAGTGAAAGAAATTTTGAAAAAAGTGACAATGTGACAATCCATCGGAAGATAACATAATTCGGAGGGTATAACAATTTAGGGGTGCAACAGGGTACAAGGTGATTTAGTGGTACACAACGCACAATTCGCGGATACAAAATTAAACTTTTTGGGGTGTTTTGCACCATTGAATCGAGGATTTTTAACCCCCAAATAGCATTGTACTCTAATGACACCAAAATTTTTGTACCCTCCGAATTATGTGTCATTGGAAATACCAGAGTGGCAAATTAATATGGTCCGTATTTGAACATGATGTAGTACTCGACGGGTTCGGATTCGATGTGCTCTCCCCAGTGCCACATGCTGTCGAGAAGATAGATGTCCATGAGAAGATTCAAGTTTTCCTCGAAGTTCTCCTTCGCGTACCAGTAGAACGCGCGAGTCTCATTGGACATTGGAGAAGTGTCATAAGTCAAAGTCTCCAGTTTGTCGTTGATGAAATCCTCAACAGCTTCTTTCATTGCTGCAAAAGTTGAAAATTATGGGTGCAGGATATAGATATTTGAACTTTAGAAAATTGTGAGAAATAGTTATAGGCCATGTGAACTCGTCCTCCTCCTCGTGGAGTCCAGGACAAAAGTCGGAGCGAGACCCAACCGGGAAATTCGTTGCGCCTTTAATCTTCTGGCGATTTACGGGGAAATGTTCTTGTCGTGTACTCCACGAGGAGGAGGACGAGTTCACATGGCCTAGAAAACTCCAGCAATCTAGCTTCCGCGGCCCCAGCAAAATTGCTAGTTTTTCTGCTTTCTGCATAAGGAAAAAACCAGCAATTTGCTGAATTGCTTTTCACTGAATAACCTCATAATAACAAACACTGTGATTCAGCTGAGCGCGTTTGCAAAGAAAAGTTTTTGTGAAACATTTGCTGATTATCACCAGCTTGATCAATTTTCGCCACATTTCTAACTGTAAAAACTGTCTGTTAAGCTTAATCTGACAAAAATACCATAACACCTGTTGTAATAGGCTCAGTTTGAGCTATTTTATCTTGGCTCTTTCGCAAGATTTGAAAAATCTGTCAACAGATAAAACACTTCTAATGTTATGATGAATAATTTATCAGTTGACGATTTTTTCATATCTTTGAGAGGAACCGAGATATATTGGCTCGAAGTTGTAAGTTAGAAGGGCCCTTTTATCGCAGGTTTTACGGTAATAGAGTGAAACACAATCGAGAAAGATGTTTCGAAACTTTTGGAGTTTTGGAACTTTTCAGTATCTACTGTTCGATTTTTGTACTTAAATTCTGTTGTGCTCAAAATGGACATACAGTACTGGTCAATAAGATAAAAACCTGTTTTCAGTTAATTCTGACTGTATTCAGGAATCTGGAGCTCGGCTGTCAAGTGTCCGATCTCTTTATAAAGTTTGGAGGGTGGAAAACAGGCATAGATTTGAAACGTTGCATTTACTGAAAATTCTGAAAATGTCTAGTTTTGAGCTATTTGCCGATTCTTGAAAATACCTGCTTTTTCACGTGTTCAGTACAAAAATTTTCAAACGCGGGTCTTTCAGAAATCAGAAAATTGCTGAAAAACTAGAAATTTTCAAAAAAAATTTTGTGAATTTTCTATTTAGATCTGTTTCATCCCTTCCAAACTTTTCAAAGTGATCCAAAGCTTGAGAGCTAAGCTGCAGATTTCTGAAAATGGTAAAAATCTACTGTTTACCACGTTTTTGCATATCTTACTGAGCGGTACTGTACACCGAGGAGTGAACGCAAAAAATCTGAATACTCACCTCCATAATCAGCATGTTCGCAAGTGTAGTATTCGAAATAATGCGAATACTGTCTACCGCAGTTGTGCCAATACACTGAAAAATTCTATTTTAAAAAAAACCACATAAATTTTGTTTTAGTCCGTTTTGATTGATAATTATCGATTGGGAAGAATATTGTTCTAGAACTGAAAATGACTATAACTCTTGTCTGAAATCGATGAGTTAGAAAATGAATATCTAGTTGAACTTTTTTTAAAAGTTGCACGAGCTATTTACCGTATTCTTCGAGCTTATCTCGAATGTTTTCTTATTTTTTTAATTTTTTCAGCGATTTTCATTGAAAATGGTGAAAACCGTTTCAAAATTGATGAGAAAAAATAACTTATACTATGCCTGAAAGATACGGTAGTTCACTTTTGCGTAAAACCTGTAATAAAAGCCCCTCCCCACCCCCCCCCCCTTAACTTTCAACTTTGAGCCAATCTAACTCATTTTCTGTAGAAGATATCGAAAACTTGTCAACTGACAAACTGTTTTTCGTAATATCATAAGCGGTCTATCAGCTGATACATTTTGATATCTTTTACAGTAACTGAGATAATTCAGTTCAAACTTGACAGTGTGGGGGCCCTTCAATTACAGGTTTTACGGCATATTTCCTTAAACTATATCATTTGACTGATATTTCTCGTTTTCTTACCTCTCTGAGAAACGGAGAGCATGGTGTAGTTTGGCAGTTGAGTTTGGTTTATCATACTCTGAAACTATCTAGAAATTTAGAGGTTTAACAGATGAATGCGTAACCAGAAAGCAAGTGTTTATCACAACTCAGAAACTATTTCGAAAGAAAATACTAGAACTAAAAAACAAAGAAAAAAAGGCAAATTGGTAAAAGGTTACATTTTCTCTCAGAAAAGCAAACAGAAAAATGGTCACCTCCTGACACCTTCTTTTTGCTTTTCAAATTATTTCAAATTTCACTAAATGTCACAGAACGGTAGAAGATGACAAATTTCGTGAGACAACGGCAATAAACGTGGGAGAGATTTACAAAAGTGCAACTGAGTCAAATGAGAGGTGTTCCCCCCTTTTTGAATATTAGTATGACTTTGCAGAGATTTTGGTGATTCATCATGGTTCGTGGTTCGCTGTGCAAGAGAACATGCAAAAAATAACGTTTTAACAAATTTTCTTTTTTTGAATGATGTTTTGCAAAACGATTGTTTTCGTGACTCAGATTTGATTCGAATTTGAAGCTAAGGAGTAGGGACAAGTGTTTCAATCTGAGTAGATAGATTTAGAGAAAAAAAACTGAAACTATTTATTGAATATTCCAAGTAGAAACGAACAGACCAGCTGTTTTCAGGTCAGAGACACGAAATTTGAGAAACAATCAGATAAGAATAGCACAGGCTAGAAATTTTTGAGAAGTGACAACAGATCAGATACATGTGATAATGAAACTTGTCTTGAACCGTAAATTATATGAAACTTGAGATCTGCGCGAGATAGCGGAATCGGGCTCTTTGTCTGAAAGATCAAAATAAGCGATAGAGCAGGTGGGGGAGGAGACGTTGAACTGTGAGAAGAAGCTGGAAAGGGGGAAAATAATATAAAATCAAACTTATCATGAAACCAAGTGGAAGTAATATGTATGTTTTTGAGAACTTTGTTTCTCTCGAAATACATTTGAGAATAAATGACTGAAAAATAATTGAAAACTTTCAAAATCAGTGATGCCACTAAAAAGATTTTCAAATGGTACGAGCTTATTGAATGTTTGTCAACGGTGATCCCATAAATTCCACTTCTCAAGGAGCGTATACCGCATTTGGGCTAATATTAGGTTGGCCGGAAAGTAACTGTCCATTTTTTGATTCGTGAATAACACAAAAGCAAGAGTTACCGTAAAACCTCTAATAGAACGACACCCGGATCGTCCACTTTGAGCCAATATATCTCATTTTCTGTGAAAGGTATCAAAAAGTGGTTAACTAGTAAAATGTTTATCAGGATATCAGCAACATTTTATTAATTAGCCACTTTTTGATATCTTTCACAGAAAATGAGA